GGGATTATCTTCAAACATTGAACTCCTTTCTTTCTTATAGATCTCAAGCTTTACCTTTTCAATCATGCAATTTCGCATCTCATATACCAAGTGAAACATGACTTGTTAGTATCACAAAATCTAATTATCATCATCTCATATATAGGGCTTGTGAAATCAATAACATACGACACATGTTCCCATCAATCACCATTCACAATATTCCTCTTAACAAAAAAACTATTTTGCTGTGTCCTCCTCTTTCTCCTCACTTTTTACCATGGCTTGAATGCCTCTTTTGATAAGTTTCAATCTCTTAAGCATCACAATGATGAAAGCAAAATGAGTATCGGCAACCGAGATCAATTTAAAAAGACAGAACTTACTAAAGATTGATAGCTTCTTGTATGATTCATGATAAAATGTTTTATTGCGAATGCATCCCCATGAATTATTGTTGTAGTTTTCATATGTTTATGCATTACCTTCTATATTTTTTGCTGCACAAATGTTCTACAAAACAAGATTAAGCGTATGAACAACACATGATGTCTAATAAATGTCAGGAAACGTAGACTCAACAACTCTTCAACCGCTTTATAATTTTTTTCATTGTCAACAATGATTTAGACAACATTCTTATGACCCATTTTATTGATTTCATTAACTAATAAAAAAATTCTATATTTTACTTGGTTAAAACAACCAATAGCTTTGAGAAAAAAATGACCACTTCCAAAAGTAATAATGAAATTAATCAGATATTTTCTTGTAGGATCCGTCTATTTTCAGAAGTAACAATGAAATTTAAATGTAATTTTTGTAGTGAGATTTGACAAGGCTCGTATTTAAAAGTTAAAACGTACTTTGTTTGGATTAAAAAATGTTGGCGATGTGTCGATGGTTGGACAAATCCTACAAGAAAACATCTAATTAGTTCCATTGCTACTTCTAGAAACAATAATTTATTTCTCAAGGTTGTTCATTGTTTTGGCAAAGTGAAAGATAATTTTTTTTCATATTTATGAGTTAGTGAAAGATGTTATCAATGAAGTGGTTCATCAAAACGTTGTACAAATTATCACTAATAATATGACAAATTGTAACGCAACCGAGGAGTTAGTTGAGTCTAATTTTCTTTAAATTTATTGGCACCATGTGTTATTCATATCCTTAATCTTGCTTTGAAGAACATTTGTGCATCAAAGAATGTGGAAGCAAATGCAAAAACATATGAGGAGTGAAATTGGATAACATTAATTCATTGAGATGCACATGCAAACATTTTATCATGAACCACAACATGATATGTTCAATATTTTGTAAGTTATGTCCTCTTAAATTTTTTTCGGTTGTCGATACTCTTACTGCTTCCGTCATTGTGATGCTTAGGAGATTAAAGTTTATTAAAAGAGGTATTCAAGCCATGATCATAAGCAAACAAAAAGAGGAGGATGTGGGAAAATACTAATTTTATTAAGGAGAAGATTTTGAGTGATTGATTTGTGGGAACATGTGTCTTTTATTATTAATATCGCAAGACTTACGTATGAGATGATTAGATTTTGTGACACTGACAACCAATATCTTCACTTGATATATGAGATTCCATGATTGAGCAATGAAACTTGAGATCATATGAAAGAAAGGTATCTAGTGTTTAAAAATAGTCTCATCTATGATGTTGTTTATCAGATCCATGAGCAAAGAATAACGCCGCTCTATATTGTCTAGCTCACTCTTTATATGATTTCACCTTTTTTTTTTGTTACCACATATATATAAATTAACATGTTTTTGTATATTGTAGATTTTATAGTGATGCATGACTAAATGAAAATTCTGCAAGAATTGCGTCACATAAGGATGCATTAATGTCATGTGAAAGGATGAAGTGTTTTAGAAAATTGTTTAACAATAATGATGATCAGTAGATGATACTAAAGTTATGAATGTGTATGCATTATTCTCCATGAAGAATTGTCTTTTTGAGGATTTAACATGCCTTTTAATGATGTCTTACTAGATTCTCATCCGCACTATGTGCGGAAACATTCGTTGTATATGATGTAAACTAAACTTGGCTTTCTTATTGTATTGGAATATTAATATCAACATAANAATTTTGAATTAGNGGTTTAGCCAANNAGTGNCAAAACGGGTAACTCGACCCGACCCAAACCAAACCCACATGGGTTTGAGATTTAATGGGGGTTTGACCCGAACTCATATGTTATATGAGTTGAATTTAATATCCAAATCTAAAAATATAAAACTTATTGACTTAATGGGTTATATGGGTTACTCACATATAAAT